GCAATTCAACCAACCGCAAGTTCCACAGCCTCTCCAGCCCGACCACACTGGGGCCGGCTTTGGTGGCTACTCAGCGCAGCCCCAAAATTATGGTTACCAACCTAACCTGGCTCCGATCCCGCAAAACGATGTTACTGCATTCCCGCCGCAGCAACAGCAGCCGCAGCCGCAACAGCAACTGGCACCAGGGGCTCAACCACACCTCCTGCAACCCCAGTCCACCAACCCGTTCAGACAGTCGATGTTGATGAGCACGCCGACCGGATCGGCCGCTCCACTTGACCGCCAGAACACCAACCCGTTCGCGCGGCGGCTTTCGACAGCGAACCCGCAATTCAACACCGGTGGTCTTGAGGCGTTCGCCCCAGCACAGGCGCAACCACAGGCTCAAGTGCAACAGGCAGCGCCGCTTCAAGCGCAGCGCACGGGAACCAACCCTTTTGCCCGCAGCTCCTCCGTACCACCCCAGCAATCGCCGGGGCTACAGCCTCCCGCGGCGGCACCTCTCCGGCCAAACCCCACGGGAAGCACCAATCCATTCCGCCAAAGTGCCTTTGTAAACCAACAAACCGGCCAGGGGTGGCATGTTGGTGGCCAGCAAGGCACAATGGGGGGACTGGAGCAACTGGACACGGTCCCCATCTTCCCGCGACCGGGTATGTAGATATGTGATGGTTGGGGAGAGGTACTTTGTAGATGAAAAGATTTCCGTCGCTGCTGCTTGCGGATGGCGGACCTAATAATCGTCTTGTGTGTCGGTAATGCCGTTCGTTGTCGACCCTACTACCCACTGGCCCTCGGCTCACTTAATACTTGTCATTATTGACTGCTTCGATGCATTTGACATTCTGTTTTACTCCCCTGCCCTACATACGGACGGGCTTGAGGATGGTGAGCTCGCAGCGCGGGCGCGACTGCTTCAATTTGACCCTGTATTGATACTTACTTAGCTATGCCGAGCAGTATTAGCGTTCAGGAGAACATATAAATTCAACGTGTATATTGCGATTGTGTTTCCAACTGTGCAAAATGTGCTTTGTTATAAGAGAAGACTGCGACCTGAAATCGGGTATGGAAAAGAGTGAACTATTGCCTCCATTTCTCGAGCAAAGCATCCAGAGCTCTCCCCCACCATTCCCCGATACGCAGCTATACATTCGGAAAACATGCACCCGGTAAGCCGACTCAACGTACGGAGTCCATACAGACAGAAAAATTATACTTAGTAAGGTAGCTTACTCGTACATAGTTCCCCCCCCCTGGAGCCTAGACTACCATCAAGACTGCTTGCTAACATAGGAAGGAAGTTTTTACTACCTAGTAGCAACCAGCAAGACCCAAGAATTAAGGAGCAATCAAATCAGAATCCCGGATGGCAGAGGTGGAGGGGAGGTGCGCCCAGCCCCCCGACGTACTCGTTGTTGACGAATTTGATTCGACAAAAAGACACCAGAGTCCAGAGAGTGTCGAGAAAAAACTCCGTAATTGTGGACCGGCCGTTCCCAGTCAGAATCGGCTCGTTCCGCTCGGGAAGAAAATCGGGATATTTTTGTTTATACACTATGTAAGAAAATGGAGGATTTAGGGACGTAGACTAGACTAGGGTTCGAGGATGTGTTTTTTTTGGTTCTGTTTTGAGGTGCTCTGAAGGCAGAACGGAAACAGATAATCGAGCTTATTTAGTCTGAATCTTCAGAAGGGTTTGGGGTGAAATCTTTGGTTTCGGGATTCGAGAGGACATTATGTCCACGGTGCATATATAGATGTAGGTATAGCTGAGTCGGTGGAGACAGGATGACCGGAGCAGATTGTCTTCTCATCTCCGTTTTCTGCAAACCTACCCAGGCAAGGAAAACAGGAAAATAACCTTGAAGAAAAACAGATGGCAGAGTTAGAGAAAAAAAATCTGGCGACCCACAGCGGAGGGGGTGTTTTTAACTTCTGACGGGGGACGGAGTATCATCTACATAAGTCTTACATTACGTCCTCGGTATGCATGTCGATGAAAGTAGGTTCTACTCCGTGCTGAGAAGAGGACTGCTAACTCAATGCGCTTGTCCCTATTTGGTGAGAAGTAGCATTGAAGAATATATTGGGAACAGTTGATTATAGGCCCGGGGATTGCTGGATAGAGTCTTCCATATTTCTACACCGAGCGCGCGCGAGAGGGCGATTGGAGGGAAGTCTGGGATTGTACAGGAAGTAGTTATACTCCGTGCTCCTTTAGCTTAGCCGTATTTCCGTGGTCGATGAGACATCGATAGTGCCTGTGGGCTGGATGTGTATGGGGTAGATTAGAACGGCGGGCAGCGTCGTTATTGTGAGACTCCTGTTCGAGACGGTGTCGGTGTAGTGACGGGATTTGTCGTGGATAAGCGAAGAGCGATCCATGATGGTTTGAGGCATGAAAACGGAGGGATACGACGACAGAAGTGTTTGTTCAGCTCACCACCCACTTTGGCTTACCTCCAGCAAGGACGTGGTAAATGTGGTACCAGCGGACGAAAGTGTGGCCTTCCCTCCTACCGATCTTGCGGTCAAGTTTAGTCTTCTCAACAGCCCCCAAGGGAGTAGGGCAACCACCAGTGTAAACCAAGGCTGACGTGCGTTTGTGTGTGCTGTAAAGTCCGTCGGTATGGAGCACCTACTCCGACCTAGTGCCGGCGGCGGGAGAGTTCTTAGGCCTCTGCGATCGACGATCGCTGCAGGACAGCCAGAAGCGAGGTGCAGGGTCGTAGTGAGGTAGTAGTAGGTAGGAGTGGTCGGATAAAGCCGAGTTTGGTGCCTTTGAAACTTGGTCTGGTCGAGCAGCTTATCGCGTGCAGATTGTTGAGGAGTGTGAGTGAAGTCGGATTGCCTGTTTGTTTTTTTTTTTTCCCGCGCGTGACATAATTGTTGTGCTCAAGCAGCTACTCATAGTTATGCTTTGCCTAGGTGAATGACGGAGGTCTCCGGTAGACTATAGGAAGAAATAATGGGGACTTGATTGACATGTTCAGCCCGTTGCGGTCAATCGGAATGGTCGGTGGATCAAACTTGTCTTGGCTAGATTTTAGCCTGTCGCAAGGTGGACTATGATTGTTTGTTCAATTTGTTCAATATGTTCAATATTGTTGAGGGCCGCTGAAGGACCTCTTCCACTAAACACCGATCTCGAATGACGTCGGCAGCTCTTCAATCCGTCTGTTCTTGAGACAGCTCGGTGAGTCAATAATTCTTCGAGAAGCAACAGAAGCGAAGAAGCTTTGCGCGAGATGTCCGTTCTTCGTGTTCAGCCCACCACCGTATCCCCCATCCCGCTGTGGCCAACAGACTCGATAGATCACATGCGGCCCATGCAAGGAGATCGAGACTCGGAATGGAAGAACCAATTCCCGGGATTGATCCGATCGGGAGCGAAAAATCAATTCACTTAGCGTGGATTTCAAACCTGGATTGCCGATGACCTCCTCTCCAATTAATCACGACATTTTAACTTCCGGTTCTGAAGGCTGAAGTTGCCAGACAGTGAAAGAGCAGGGGAGACATCGGCTATCTTTACCTGGGAGTAATCTGGTGTCGTTGCACCCAGTGTACGGAGTACAGCACAGTAGCCTCCCGTCAGGCTATTATCACCTGTCTGTTTCAACTGTCAGGACTCAGTACATACACAACAATACCTACCTTACTGACTCATTTACCTACTACTACTCTTTCCCAGCCAGTAAGTGTCTACTATCACAGCGATTCCGGGATCCGATGTCGAAATTTAAGTTGCTGCTCCACTCGGGCTCCGGCAGCAACAGCATCCGAGATCTGGGCTGGGCCTCGTGTCTATTCCTCTGTCTGCGACTCTGCCAACTCGAATACGGCCTTCGGTTGAGAATACTACTCCTGATCAAGTTCGTATTGTCATGAGCAGCAGCAGCATTGATTAGGTGCAGTGATGGGTGCACACACCCTACCCTACTACCACCAGTACTACATCACATACAGTACTTTGTACTGCGCTTCCACCTGGCCCAACCAGACAGCGGCGGAAAAACCCCCCCTGTGTTCAAGAGGGACCCGTGGATGCAGGCGTGGGACAAAGTAAATCAACCATCGATCTTCCACGGCTGTTAGTTGCGCGTCTCCGTTTCTTCCTCCCGTCTTTTGTCGCTTCGTCTCGCCTATGGATTGTTTGGATTCATCCGTCGATAACCATAATCAATCGAATGATTACCACTTGGTGTCTCAGAGAGGAGGACCTTAGACAATAATGTCAAGTTGGTTCGGAAGAACCCCGAGTCTAGAATATTACTTACTCATACTTCCATGCACATGTGAATCGGCACAACAAGTTCAGGTTCAGGGGAAAAGAAGTCAAAACAAGGATCCAAGCATTCGAACTTCCTTCCACCTCCCTCCTCAACTTTTCTTCGTCTGGTTTTTTTTTTTTCCTCTTTTAATTTATTTCCTATTTTCCATCAGTTCTAAAATTATACCGAATCGGTGCTTAGCTTCTGCTCTTAGGGACTGGACTCATTTCCTGGCAAGCCATCATCCGCCATCCCCTCCACTTTACAGCCCCTCTTCCTCTTACTTTCATTATTCTCTCCGGCTTACACGCTCTGACACTGGCACTCACTCACTCCCTCTCACTTTACGCTTCCCTCTCTTTCTCACCACGGCGTGCCTAGCCCACCACCAGTCCCCAACCATTCATCCTAACGTTCTCGTGTCATCCTTTTTCGTCCCCAATTCTTTTAGCTCCTTCCCCCCCGTTTCTCTCTCTAAACTAAAGCACCAAGAGATGGGCTTTTCCAGATAAGGGCAGTGCGCTGACCACTCAGCATTTCCCTCCTCTTCTGATCTTCCTCTGTCCCCCCGGATTCTTCTCACACTCTTTCCACGCTTCCCCTCTAATCCTGAGAGGCTCTGACCACCGCTTGTCTCAATCAGCTCGTTCTAGAATGTTGAGCGTCGGCGAAGATCATCAGCTGGATCTGTGAAATCATATAATTAAATTCGCGCGTGCGATGGACGCCAAGAATTCCCCTCACTATCAGCCAACGGCGCGCGCTCTGGCTACCGACCACGAGCAGGTCCTGCCCCTGCTGGGAAAACCACCTACGTGGACGACACCGAACGCCGTTCATCCAATTGCTATTAATAACCATCCTTATCCCCTTCTCCATCATCCATATACTTATCCGATCGCAACGCCCATTCCTGGTCCAATACCGGGTCCTGCGCCCCCGCTGCCACCGTCCCCGATTTTATCATTACCACCGCAACAACAGCATCAACAAATACAGCAGCAACAAATACAGCAGCAACAAATACAGCATCAAATACAACATCAACAAATACAACCGCCGCCATTACCACCGCAACCCTCCGCGCCGGTCCACGGCAGCGCGCCACCCCTTGCAACTGCAGAATCAACCCGCCAAGATGCAAGCAAGAACGGAGTGACCAAGGCGCGCAAACCGCGCAAGACCAACAATGCCTCGGGGGGGAAATCGACCTTGTTCTGGGTCCATACCGACCCCAAGTCCGTGTCGGAAGGCACCAGGGAAGAGACTCTCAAGCGCATTCGTTCTCATGTGATGTCCGAGCATAATCGCAAGAAGCGACTGGAAAACACCAAGCGGTACAAGAGCAAGACCTGGAAGCACCTGGCTTTTCAACCGGTAGAGACAACCGCCTCCAGCTCGGCGGCGGCGGCGGCGGCGGCAGCAACATCTGCCTCTCCCACGAACCCTTCACCAAAGCAAACCGTTACCGAGTCCTCTTTTGGGGCTCGAATCACCTCCGAGTCGCCTCCCCCATCTTCCTCTTCATCAGCTTCATCATCACCCGAACAGCGGCATCGAGAGGAACCGCAAAATGCGTTGGTGGTTACGGAGGCGAACAGTTACCCGGTTGTAACAGCGGCAGCCGTAAACAGTTTCAGCATTGACGCGCCAACGTCCAACGAACTTTCGCCTATGCAGGTGGCATCTCCGTGGACTCTGGTGGGTCAGGGAGGTAGTGACCCTTTCAATACCTCGCATACGGTGTTAACGGACCGCATGTCGGGGCACCTCCAACACTGTAAGTGTGATCGAACGATGATCTGGTGTGCATGAACCTAATGGTGTCGTCGCAGTCTTCGAGTTGACGCAAATATCATACCCGCTGCAACGCCGGTATGGGCCCAAGCTGAGGGCCCACTGGGCTGCGTTAGTCCAACAGGACCCAGCTTCGTTGCATGCTTGTATATGTGTCGCAGCATCTAATACTGCTCTGGAGCAAGGAGAACTGCCCTTAAGAGACCCGAACGAGCGGCGGTCCAGTGCGCTACTTCTTGACACCTTCCATCACCGAGGTGAAACAATTCGCCTGGTCAACGAAGGTCTTTCTGACCCGATCAAAGCGTCCAGTGACGAATTGATCGCAGCAGTCTCTATCCTTCTAACCATCGAGGTATGTGCCTTCTTTTGACGTCCAACTAGGCCGACGCTAACAGGTTAGATTGCTTCCGGTAATGCTGATTACCTGAAGATCCACCTTGCTGGGTTGCGGCAGATGGTTGGTATGCGGAACACCTTCGCAGACGTGCCACCTGATGTTCGATTCCAAATTACATGGTCAGTTCCACTACACCAACATCCTTGTCCGCATATGTTCTAACTTGATATAGGACGGATATTCGAGTCGCATGCATGGCTTCCACCAAGCCTATATTCCCTTTTATTCGTTACGCCCGTCCTCTGCATCTGGCGCTTCAGCCTCCAAGCAAAGATCTTGAGCTTACCGCCTCGCGCTTGATACAATTAATTGAGATACCCGGCATCTTCGGCGGTGCCATGTCTAAGATCATATGGGACCTGGTTGAGCTGACCTGGTACTGCGAATGGATCAAGAGTGGGCCAAGCTATCAAGACTTTGACGAGGAGACCGAGGACTACTTCAACACCGAAGTGCTCCACGTGGAATACGCCCTCCATACGGATCGCTTCACCGCTACCGGCGAAGTCAAGGGTGATGCCACCATCGAGGGCTGCGTTCGACTGGCTTGCTTGTTATTCCACAACAACGTGATCTGGAATTTCTACCCGGTGGTCGCACCGGTCTTCCCCAAACCGATTATCAACCTTCGCCTGGCACTAGAGACGACGATGAAAGCCGGGTACTTCGAGCTGTGTCGCGACGTCTTGATCTGGATTCTATTCATCGGGGCCACCAGCTCCGGCCTGCTCCCCGATCGAGCCTTCTTTGTGAATGAGCTCGCCATCGTGCTGAGGCAGGAAGGAATCCCATCGTGGCAGGAGCTCCGCGCGCTTCTGCTGGGATTTTTCTACGTGGACCGGTCCTATTTGCAGCCGCTACGGGACTTGTGGGATGAGCTGCACACCATGCCGGTCGTATCGCCGGAGTGTATATAAGGGGCCTTGTTCTTCCTCGGGGGTTGATACTTATGTTTATATATAGGGGCTTCACAGCATGTCGGTTTCATATGCACATGTTCTATGTATGATACTAATGAGATGAGACATGGTATATATGATTCAGGGTCGTGATTTGTTTGGTTGTGCCATACCTCCCCCCTTTGCTAGCATAATGTCTGTTTATAATATTATCCCGGATCATACCACCAGATCAGCCGTGTCTCCTTCCCTCGATTAATGCAACCCAGATTAATTGGCAGTGAAACCAGCCAAGAACCGACTCAGTCCGCAGCAGCGCCGAGCAAAGTCCTGCACCTATAAGGCTAGAAAGGGGAAAAATTCCTCACCCATAATCTTTAGAAGACTGGACCGAGTCACAGCCCAATATTAAGCTGCAAAGAACCCGAAAAAATATCTTTCAAGATAAGCACATTCCCAGCTGAATTGCACTCAACCAATTTCCAAACAACCAAAAATAAGAAGAAGAAACGAACGCTCCTCTCATCTCCGATAAGTCCCGACTAGAGAAATGCCTCAAAGTAACTTATCTACGTAACCAGGTAGGTAGTTACTACGTACCTGCGAAGAAACGACGCGGGCGGGCGCACGCCTCGCCGGACTTGTGGTGGACTAGTTGCATCGGCACGCCAGGCTATCATCCCGATTTTCCTCCGCCCGACCGAATCCCGCCCGATCTCCGACCTTGCCCCGAGAGAATCCTTTGGGCACTTGACGAGGTAGGTAGTAGGAAAGAAATTATTTAGTAGACTATTATGCCGCCCGTCCTTCGGGATTGAGTGGTTTTTTCTCTCTTTCTCTCTCTCTCTCTCTCTGTCTCTCTCTCTGTTTTTCTTTGTTCTCGTACAACTGAGAGTTTCGTGGTCCTTACCGCTGATACTACAACTACTACAGCTCCAGCTGTTGTAGTTGTTATCTACTCACTCACTCTTGCTATACAATTGCTATCCAAACTAACTAACCAACTAACCACCTAACTAACTAAGTCCCCTACTCAAGGAAAGACAGGACGATCGGCACGGACACCCCAGCCCTACCCCTACCCTTACCTCACTTAGGTCTACTTCTTGACTGAGAACAACATTGCTACGCTACAGGGCCCTGTGGGCCAACCCACCACACCACCATGAGGTCACCGTTGGTCCTCGCTGAATGACTCAGCTTCAACTTGGTCGTGGCTTCTTTTGCTTCGCCTTTTCGCTTTCCGCTTTTGCTATCGTCGTCGCTCTTCATGGGTCTCACTACATACATACATACCTACCTACCTTACTTTCTTGTGGTGGGTCTGGTGGAGGTACAGGGGGTTCATGATGCCACAGGGTGGATTGGACTGGTTATTCACGAATTGACTGGCTACTGACTGACTGGCCAACCGGTTCACAACTTATCGACTGCTCTCTACTTGTGCAATTACTGTTCGGAGGCTTCAAGCCAGCAGGCATATTTATTCATGCATTAAGCTTAGTGGAGGCTCGGCCCGGCCTACGCGCGGTGATCGACCGAACTATCACCTGTCACTCACTGCTCCGCCCACTCATCTACACCCACTCGTCCACGAACAAAGCACTGGGATCTGACTGCTACGCTGCGACGATGATAACCGCCTATCTTGACGATGAGATGAATGCGCATTCCAATTGTCGGACAACATCTGCAACAGTGCATCGACTGCACGCTCGATCTATGACATTTCGGCGGTCCAGCGTATGTTGGATGTCAACAGGTCGCATGAGATACTCGCACGCCTACGGATGCTTGCTGCAGGTATGTCCCGAGGTCGGTCGGCTACTGTTACACCGATTCAGCTTCTGCCTAAGAATCACTTCCGTAATAGTCATTTGGATCATTCATTGAGCAACTGTGCATATAAAAGACAAAACTCCAAATCATCGTCCACGACAGCGGACTGCCTCATTATTACCCGATCGGTTATTTCCATATCCAGTTGGAATCAACAACAGCGACAAAAACAATTAATGTATCGGACAACATCCCCGTGCGAAGGCCCACAGCTCGAACCAATCGCTAAACAGGACGGTCCTACATGAATGGGTATCAGAATTATAACAATGACATGTTCATCGGAACATAGCAAGGCCGCTTGCAGGGCCTGGGACTGTACGAGTGCTGCACCCCCTTAGACCGTCTCGCGAGCAGTCTTCTGGCGAGAACGAGCGGTCGGAGACCACGGGAAGTGGGCGACCGGGATGATGAAGAAGCTGTTGCTGCTGTCGGCAATACCCGCCAAGGCGTTGTACCAAGCAGCGAAGGCAGCCAGGAAGCCGAAGAAGCCGCCAGCCTTGATGACAGGGGTGTTGACCTCGTTGGTATCGTTGCGCTGCAGGTATCCAATACCCAGGAGCAAGAAGGTCAAGTCCAGGAAGAAGAACAGCAGGAAGAAAGCAACAGTCGAGCGCAGGGTGCAGAACAGCATGATGGTGGTGAAGATGAACCAGCCCTGTGGAACAGCAGTCAGCACGAGGTTCGCGGTTTGCGATAGATTTTCTGCGACACTTACCATGAGGAAGAGACCCATCGAGTTGTAGAACATCGAGGCGCCGCCAGCCGATTCGATCGCAGACTCGATGTCGAATCCACCGGGAGTCAGAATGATCGCGAAGGAGATCCAGAAACCACCATAAGACGACAGAGCAGTGGCACCGAAAGTGTTTCCAACTGCCATTTCCCTGCATGCTGTGTGAGCGAGGACGATTCGGGACGAGATTACAGATTGCAACATACCACATGCCAGCAAGCAGCTGAACGAGACCACCATATCCAAAAGCCAGGCCGACAACGATGTTGGGTGCGGAAATACCCCGGGTTCCCATGTTGACCGCGCTCAGGACGAAAGTGGTGAGGGCGAAAGCGCAGAGACCCAGAGGAGCTGGGTTGGCGAACTTGCGGCCTTCGACCGACTTGTACAGACCGGGCTGGAACTCTCCTCCGAAGGGACGCAAGTTGGCCTCGGCGGTGTTGACGTGAGCCATCGGACCATAGCCGAAGCGCGCAGCAGCTCGAGCAGTCTCCTCCGCAGTCATCTCGTGCCTGAGGGGGGCAGTTCCGTTGCTCTCGGTCTCGGGACCGATGTCCTTTTCCAAGGTAGGGTTTTGCTCGACCGACATATTGACCGATTAATTGAACCAAAATCTATGGTTTATACAGGTATCAAGGGGGTATCAATTGATCTTGAGTGAAAAATAGCTCAGCTAGCTGAGGGGGAGGAAGAGTATTATAGATGAAACAGGTGAGGGGAGGGGGAAGAGGAAAGGAAATATATGAAGCCACACAGCACTGCTGGGCAGATGAACAACAAGATCTCTTGGAAGGTTGGGACCGTGCAAGAGAGGAAGAGGAATAAATAACAGCAATGAGAGGGGAAGATGAGAGGGGGAGAGGCGAAATAAGAAGGGCCTCGGGGGAATTGGAACGAGGCGTGGTGCTTGGATGGACGGACGGGCGCGACACCACGGACGAGCGAAGGTTGCAGGGGAGGAGCCAGGGAGAGGAAGGACCGTTCGTTAGCAAAGTTTAGCTTGGGTAAGTGGACTCTTTCCTTTGGTTGTGATTGAATTTTTTTTTCTTCTGGGATTGTTTTTTGGAATTTATTTTATTTTTTATTTTTCTGTTCTGTTTTTGATATTTGGGGAAAGACCTCGAAGGGGGAGGGAGAACAGCCAATCTCTTTTGGGGCGGGGAGGAGAAAGTCTCACCGTTGAATTTTTGGCAGTGTGTGACTGTGATTATTATCATTAATATTATCATAATTATTATTACGGTAGTATTATTACTACAACGAGTCAATGACCCCATCCTGCTTTGCTCGTGATGGAAGGCCGGGGTGGAGCGAGCCAAATTAGTGTTGGTCTTTCTAAAACGATGTGCAGGAATCCACCTGACGGGCCACTCCCGTATGTGTCGCTTTTCCTAAACCGACGGACTGACTTCTACTGCCTGCTCGACGGCCCAGATTTGTCAATTAAGTGACTGGCGACCTGACAGTCAATTCAATTTTTTTTTTTTTTTTTTCGGTTGCAGGGCAGCAAGCCGGGGGTTTGGGGTCTGGGGTTTGGTGCTTGAGATCCGGGGGAAGCAGAAGGATTGGTTCTGTTGGTTTGCCTCAACGAAAACCCAATGCAGGGTCAGGATGAAGGGAAATTTTTGGCTTCCATTCGTCCAGGTTGAGAGCGAGGAAGGGATTTTCTCAACCTTACAGCTCTATTACCGATTGACTTTTCATGCCTGGGGAAACCAAGCCCTTGAGCCCGCGTGGGTGGAGCCCTAAGAAGCGCCCGAGGTCCGGGGATTGCACCAATCACTACCTCTCCCTCAGGACCACTGGCATGGCCATTGGCAGGCGGCCTCCTCCCCGCCGGATGACATGGAGATGACATGACTGGTACGGTATTGTAACGTCCGCGGATAGACGGACGCACCGGAGATATCTCCAGCTCTACGGGAGTACCGTAGCTGTAAGTTGCTCCAGTCGCATGCCTCTCCTCAGTACCAATCTTTCGTCCATGGGTGGTCAGCCAGCCCATGGGGTTTTGGGAAGTCCCAGATTCCCGCTCGATGCGGAATGCGGAGTGCCTACCTAGTACTTATGCAGTGATCTATCTGATCAGGACACAATTAGCGGCCATTTCTCTCTGCCCGGTGGAATTGTGCTCCAAATGTCAGGCACATTTGCTGGTGGGATGGATGGCCTTCAATAACCATGTCCACCAATTTATGTCTCAATCTAAAATGCCTGCCTCTGCTATATTAGCCTACTTTCCGTACTGTACTACTTTAGACTCCGACGGGCGGCTAGCATAGTAGTAGGACAGGACCCTGGAAGAAGAAACCACTTACGCACGCAACTCACTAAACTCGACTAAAAGTCCACTTATTAATAATCTACTTTCTTTAGTCCGTTCGTAGTTGACTAGAGTATCCCCCCTCTCAAAGCTGCGCAGCTTGACAGTACACAGTATGTTCCTTCGCATTGATCGATCCCAGAACGGAATAAGATCCTAAGCGTCGGTCGTTCCCTTGGGCCCTTCGGATGGGGCTGATGGCCACCTTTAGTGGTACCATGGCACCTCCCAGCTCAAGGTACCAACCAGGGTTACTTTGGATCATCAAATTTTGTCCATAATTGCGACGGTGGTGGCGGACAGGGTTTATCGAACCAGAACTTACTTTTGGGGGGGGGGGGGTTCCCTTCCGTCCGAAAGGGACAAGACAAGAGTAAGGTTAGTTATCTGGTACGGTAGTTACCTTCTGGCAAGCCACCAGGAAAATAAAGATGTTTGTGCCGGGGCAAAAATCTGGCAGACTCATGGTGATTGTTACTGTAGTGTACCTGCGCTTGAACCCGGGTCCGGCGCGCCCCTCTTCTCTGTCTTTCACAGGCTAAAATGCTGGCTAATGCGGTTAATTGGGTCCTCTTCCTCTTGCCGGATGGGATGGCGAGGCAAACCGTACTAGAGAGTGGGTGTGCCACTGCGACGCGACGGAGTCGTTTTGAACCACTACGCTCGTCACTCGGTGACTTTTTAACTAACTGCTACGGTCTTAGCCAGTTAAGTGGCAGGTTTTTTGGTAGTCTTTAGGCCAACTTAGTGGGAATTCTGGGTGCTAGACTAGAAATGCAGTGCAGTGGCAGTGGTCGATCGGTTCGCCGAACCATACCGAGTCTCGAGGAGACCGGGAGGCTTGGGGCTTGGGTCTAGATATGGGGGAACCCGATTAGACTGATTAGTAGATTTTAATGTATGCACTTTGGTGCATAGGGGATGGTGGGTTTAGTTTAATCATCCTTTTTTTTGGGTGCCTGGTTTCTATATTGTGTATGGTTGTCTATGGAGTACGTGTTCCGTAGTGTAGCTGAGTTACATGTTTGGTAGATCGCACACAGTCCGGTTGCGTGAAGTGCGGGTATAAGTATGAGTATGAGTATGAGTATGAGTGTGAGTCTGTGTACAGTACGGACTGTATTTAAAGAGTTGTGTCGGATCGTCTCTGCCAGCTGTCGCAGTGAGTCGATCTGTACACCAAGAGAGTTTAGTTTGCGGTCGTCCGGCCACAACTTTACTAATTAAACCACACCCCAAAGACGCTAAAGTCTGGACAGTGTATGAGTAAAACCCACGATCAGCATCGGAACCCACGAGGCTTCGCAAGCAGCTTTACTGCGTTCAATGAAAGCTCCGGGCGTGAAGGTACGGTAGTTAGTTAGTTAGTTAGGTCTCACTGCTCAGTCTCACCAGTGCACCATCGGCTCCAGAAGGGAGATTTCCCCGTCAGACTAAAACACCACCCGAAGGGAGACTAAGTTATCTGGGTCCAATCCGATAATCTTCTGTTTTGTGTTGTTCCATTGACAAAGGGCAGTGTCTAGGGCACAGACATAGACTCAAGTCTGACCTTTAGTCTTATTATTCGAGTATACGAGTCGTTTTCTGACACTCGAACCATACACCACCTTATTTTTTTTTTTTTGGGCTGTGTGTTCGTTTCCGTTGTACTGTCTCAAGTGGTGTACTCGTATGTTTGCGGCAAGGAAAAGGAACTTAACCGCGTCGAGACTCCACTCTCGGCGACCGTTTCTGCCGCTCTCGTCGAGTTTGGTCTCTCTTTGGTCCAATCTGGAAAGTAGGTACTAGGCAAGTAGCACGCGGGCGGGCGGGTTCGGCGGGTTCATGTTCATCGTGGCCGGCCACCACTAGACTAGATACCACCACCAGAAACGCCCACTCATTAATTTTGATTGTTACAATCTAGTCTATCGGTAGGCGGTAGTCACAGATTCAAGACTAACACCCCCTTTTCTATCCCTTCATTTCACTGTCTGTCAGAGACGCATGGTGTACGGGTACGGAGTCCAAACAAGCTCAGACAGGAGGCCCGCCCGGGTATCGCAATCCACAGACAGGCTGTGGCCATTGCTTCTCGGGTTTCTTGTCTCGACGGAACTGTCAACTTTGATGTTGATGGCCGTGTCAGTGTGTGTTCGGTGTCTGTAGTTCAGATCCTTTTCGCGATCTCATGTAATAACCCACTACGGAATGATAGCCTAATTACTGATCCACCCTTCAAGCAGGTAGTTAGTTGCTGAGGACTTCAGCAAAGCAGTTGGATCTGCACATGATTCTCCTGCCAGTGTCCGTCAGCTGTCAAAAACGACACCCGGGGGTGCGAGATCAACAATAGCATGGCTACATGCATGAATAACTTTTTTTTTTACATAGTAGTAAGTTTACCAGAGAAGAAGCTAAGATGGGAGCAAAGAAACATCGAATTGCCCTTAATTTATCCTCCAATGTCCCTTCTACCGGCAATATTGCCCTGATAATTAACCTGCGCAACAAAGCTAGCATGCACATTCTTTTACATTTGCGTTCCTTTCTTGACAGTCAGCCTCGTGTGCTTTTTGTTTTGTGCATCAACACGAGGGTCTCTTTTCCCGCGGGAATAATACGCCCGGCGTATGCCTACTGTACAGTTACCTACCGAGCATAGTCGGCGGCGTAAGGCATCTGTTACCTTAGCAACTTTGGTTGTAGCATTCCCTTCGCTTACCTGGCGAACCTTATTATCAACATAGGGAATTGGCTTCATCTTTTTCAAAGACAGAAAGTGTCAGCAGCGTAGTTCAATGACTTTTTTTTTTTTTAGTAATTTTTGTGTTTTCGCGTCCACAAGCAACAAAAACTTGCCAAACCCTTCTAGAGTTCTAGACTTCTAGACTTCTAGACCCCTCCTAGCTCCTCGGTAGAATATCCCCCCAAAACAAGGATTGTTCGGGACGGTTGTACCTGGTACCTACCGCGCCATCGCAAACCCTGCGTGTAGGCAAAACGCCACGGAAGTAACTAGTACCTAGCACTGCACCTAGGCCGACACCTCTGGCTAACCAGCCAGTCTAAGTAGCCAGCTAAGTGGGCAGAGTACTGTACTGTACCTTTGCGCAGTCCCCTCCGTCCCACCACTAGATTCGCTGGAGGGAAAGAAAAAACCGGCTCTGACTCCGGAAACATAAATTAATTTCTGTCGGTTTGTCGAGTAGGACTACAGACTCGGGTATTTCTCCGGGTCGAGATCGTGGACCGACCGATTGATGCATGCGTGTTGCCAAGAGGGAGATTTGATTTTGGCTGGTTTAATGTACTCAGTAGAAGAGATTACGGCGTCAATTGGGGTTAGTGCTTAGCGAGGTACTGTACAATACTTTCCACCCGCTGGTGCCCAGGTTGTGGATTATTAATAAGTTGGGATCCTGGAGTAGAGGATGAAGATGAAATGCCTCGGTCGGCCGGAGTGTAGCTCAGCTACTCGAGTAACCTAGCTAAGAGTGCTGTATGTCTACACTACTGTGGATACTATACAGCAAGTGTAAATGGTTGGTGGCCGAGGTGGAGTTCAGCTACGGCTGTGGATGCGGCTAAAGCTGGCGCTGGCGCTGCAGCTGGAGCTGGAGCTTTGATGCCAGTGCCTGTGCCACCCACCCATAGTCTCATCCATGTTAATTTAGTGCCCATCGTCGTTTGGAGCCGTCCGCCACGGAAGGTGGGAGATTTCCACGGAGCCGGAGAGAGTACAGTACATTCGAAGGGTGCAGTGATCCCTCGGATGGATGGCGCTCACGGAAAGCTAGACTCTTGGGCCTAGGCAGCTAGCCAACTAGCTAGCTAGCTAGTTGGCACTTTCCCGTGCAATCCCTACAGGGTAATTATTGATAGGCAGGGTTTCTGCGCCTCTTGTTCTGACAGTCGCCCAGTCCTTTTTTTATTTTTCGCAGAAGGGTTTAAATTAAGTGTGTTTTGGTTTAGGGGTGAGATTGGCAATTAGATTAAGAGCGTTGTTTTTTGTGTGTTGTTTTGTGGGGGAGTAGGGTCTTTTGTCGAGTTGGTTGTTGAGCTAGATGCTGCTCGCTTGGTCTATACCTACCTACATTACAACGTACTGAGTCATAGATACCATTGTCCTTCTCCCCCCCCTTACTACCTATAGCACTGTATGACACTGATGGAAGATTAGGCAAGGGGAGCCCAACCCATGCAACATGCAAGACTCACAACCTGCAGATGCAAGTAATGCCACCAGTTAGAGACGACGTATAACTTAGTATAGCGAAGTACAATCCCCCTCATCCCTTCAACCCCCTAATCTCCCCAAGCATAAGACCCCATCTCAGTGAGTAAATTATAGTTTGTCTACTCAGAAATTAGCACACAGACCGTGTACCACCAATACTGTACCTATAATACACCTCCACTCCCCATAGCATTACCCCATAATCTCCCACCTGGCCCAGGAAATGGTCCGATCTTTACCCCGCATTAACAGAGGTGCGGAGTATGCCTACGTACTGCTTCTGAGGGCAAGTGGAGTAACGGCAAGCAACCCACGTGAGGGTATACGAGTCCCCTTTTGCTTTTTTACTGGGAAGAGGGTTGGTTTGGAGTAATGGACCCCAATTCCACAAGCTTATCCGTTGTTTGCCGCGGGATCCGTGTGGCTTGACGGGATTGGGGGGCATTTCTTTACTATTGCGGATGTGCAGTTCGGAAATGGACATTCAGAGAAATGGTAATGATGAAGATCTTGGAGAGCAGATCGATCGGTTTGTCTACGTAAAGTCAGACCGAAAAAAGGCCCGGAGCACTGCAAAGTGTCCATATACCTGTCTGGGGAAGGATATGAGTTCCGAATGATGGGTCTGGGTAGCGTTGGGGTCGGTTGGGTAGATCTGCGGCTGTCAGGAAATGCTAGCAATGGACTACTATGTAATCATAGGATGTAATAAGTTAGGCGTTCTGACTATCGGCATTGATGCGGGCCCGTTCGTCAGTCACTGCGCTGAGGGGCGGGATCTACTTAATTTTACTCAACATAGTGCATGTACTGTACTGGGTCCGAGATACATCATCTAAAGTATACTGAGTAGAAAGCAGAGTCACGGGGTGAGGGGGATCAACGCCCGGGGGTCAGAAAAAAAAGACATTCTTTTAATCTGATAGCTGATGACTTAGCGACAACTGTATCTGCCCATTGTCCAGCATGTTTACTATGTAAAGTCTCTTACTGGATTGAGTTTCCGTAGCCGAGAAAGCGAGACTAGTGACCTTGATTCAGATCGCGTACGGATCTACTCGGAAGATGGAAATCGCCTGACTACAGCACCCTCACCAACTGACCCAGCAACTTGGGATATGGTACGATCCTCGCTTCAAAGACCGAGAGTTCCATGTGTCCGGTTCCCCATCAACCTGATACGGACCGAAACCCGGGAGTCGGGGAACCCCAGGTCCTGCGGCTGAGGAGTTTACCCCGCCACAAGGCAAGCTGGGCGTAGGCATCCATGGATTGTGAATGGAGACAACTGCTAACAAGATGACAAAGATGGACGTTCATCCTCGGGTCGGCGGAGCGGAGATAGCAACACACAGAGCTTTCCCTCGGGGTTTGGCCTTGGAATTCTGGTGGTGATTCTGGGGCTCTTTCACAGACGAATCGAACGTAAGCCAAGACTGGAGGAGACTGCAGCTCGGGCTCCACTATCACCGGGCATGAGCGAAAACCTTGTCCGTATTTTTGTTTCTCGATTCCCTCTGGAAAGGCTTTGCCACCATCAACCCATTATTCCCAGCCAGAGACAAGGGTTCCGACGGGTGCCTTGCATGTTCGATGCCACTGGCTGGAGATGTGGTTCCAGAAGTTCTAGCGAAGGTCCTCTAGTTCAATAGTGCCTGCGCCAAAAGGATTAAAAGTCCTTGTGCCCAGAGTACCAAGATAAGCCCGATAATGAATTTTGGCTTTGGATCTTAGGTTTAGGGCCCGCTTGAAAAGTCCACCTCTTGTGATGATGCAATTGCGTGATGGGTTTGTAGGCTTGCCCGACTCCAGTCTCTCACTGTTGGGATGAATGGCTTCCTGTGTTCCTATTTTTTGGACTGAAAGTTTTCCCTTTCAGTTTGGTGGGGGTGCTTCCCCATACAGACAATTGTGCATATCACCGATGTCGGGTTGGTCCTCGGGGAAGCGGGTGGTGGCGGACAGAAAGAAGAGGAAGGAAAACAAAACTCCGGCTGGTCCACATCCAGAGGAAAATCCTAGCGGAGTGAACAGAATCATCTTCGCTCGCCTCAAAAAAGCTTGCGGTTCGCCATGAGAAGCGCGAACTCAGTTGGGAACCCGCCGACTCCATAGTTCATGCAGCAAGCCAGTAGTAGCATGCATGGGCAGCATGATTCGAGCTCTAGTCAACCCATGTGCTCTGTAGATCCTCGACTCTTGTCCACCTCCCACGCGCGTGGAGGGTCTGAAGCGCCATCGCGCGATGCCAACTTGGATGCTGGCTCAACAACATCATGGGCGAGCTAGACTGACTTGGTGAGTAGCCGCGAGCTTGTTGCCGAGTCCCCAAGTCGTCATTCGTGAAGATCGCCGGGTGGGTGGGGTGGAAGATCTGCCGTATACGGAAGAAGCGGTCTGTCGAAGGATTCAAGGAATGATGTCGACTGGGATCGAATTTGTTCGTGCGCATTGGTTCTTGTCTTTCCCCTCTTCGATAGTTTGTGAGCCAAGGTGGTAGTACCAGCTCACCGACTATGTTGATGGTTCAAGAGATGATTTGGAGGTCACAGAAAAATATCAGTGGATGTCATGCAAGGTACAGTCACTGGTTCTGCCTGCCCTTGCCTATTCGGGGAGCTTGGCCTAGCATAATGGATGGTTGGTCAATCAGTCATGTGCAAGATGAATATCACGGGATTTCTATCGCAGTGAGAACCTCACCTCACCAGTACACAACCATGCTCATTGGCTCTTCGTTGGCTGCCATCTTCAAGCTATCCCTCATCCACGCTCTGGACGAATTCAGGCTCTGATTACTGACCCGTCCAGGTATGCGTCTGGTATGGTCTTACGAGGATCAAGTCTAGACATCGGAGATTTATCTTTCGATGTCGCAAGTAAATCTTCACGGCATGTCGGCATATCTATCAGGATGCTACCTGCTTACTTGATCACTGATAACACGCAAGAGACATAGACACTACTGCAGCACAACACAGCCCCTCGTGCGGGGTTGATAAGTGGCATCGGCTCTTGATATGCCGTGCTGATGTCTCTCCGACCACCTTCTATACTCTGGGGCACATTGGTGAGATAATGCAGCTGTCAATGCATATCATGCGTTATCTATCTCTGCTCATCATGGCCTGCTTACCTCAAGTGATGCTTTGCCTTAAGTGGAAGGTGTCGAGGTCTACATGTCCAACAATGGGGGTTATCTCTATCAAATCGCTGTTGCTTGACGGGAGCATGACCCTGCATTTACTATGCCCCCAGAGATATGAATACATTCTAGGAAGTGCTTCAGAAGCTCCAGCTATGCTTGATATCATACTTGGTTTGATAAGGCCACACAGTTGGGGAGGACAGACTGCTATAAAAGCAGCAAGATGAGCACTTCCTGCACCGATAACAACACCCTTCCTGCAGCTCGTCGAAAGCACTGAAAATTATCAAGATGGGAAACGTGGATGCTGAGAAGTCAATCGTCACTACAGCAAAGGATGACAGCCATACTCCTGCCTATCAAGCTGATGCAGCATTGGAGTATCTCCGAACAGGAGATGTAACGACGTTCTCCGAGGTAGAAGAGAAACAGCTCGTTCGGAAGATCGACCGCATGATTGTGCCTCTCATGTGGGCAATCTATTTCCTCCAGTACCAAGATAAGATCCTAAGTCAGTCTCTGCTCGTCATGTCGACGCTGTAACTGTTGCCTGACCGAGCGACTAGTCAACTATGCGTCGGTGATGGGTCTGCTGGATGACACGGGGATGCGGACGGATCAGTTCTCCCACTTGGCTTTGGTTTTCTACGCGTCATACCTTTTCTTTGAACTCCCGACCGGGTATCTGATGCAGCGTCTGCCAACGGCGAAGTACTTGGGGCTAAACGGTAGGTAGCGCTGCTCGGGTTGCGAACCATGCTGATTAGCCCAGTCACTCTCTGGGGTCTGTTGACCACTCTGAACTGCGTTGCAAAGAATTTCGCCGGGCTTGTTGTCCTCCGCGTACTTCTAGGATGCTTTGAGAGCGCTGTAGCACCTGCGTACGATCTCCTCCAACGTTGGAACCTACCGGGCTGACCTTACTAGTCTGATATTGATCACATCCATGTGGTATCGAAGAAATGGTAGAGGTCTCGGTCATTCTTTGGTCCCTCTTTACTGACTTAGTCCTAGAACAACCGCAGCGTATGGGCCTGTGGTACTTGGGAACAGGCACAGCAACTATTGTCGGAGCCTTGGTTGCGTACGGTCTGCTCTTCTACACGGCCGATGAGTTCTACTCATGGCAGATCATGTTCTTAATCTTCGGACTTTTGACCATCGCTGTTGGGGTCACAGTCATCCTCATCTTCCCCGACAATCCTATGACCTCCCGACTCAGCCACGAGGAGAAGATCATGGCCATTGAGCGTCTCCGCGAGAACCGCACCGGCATCGAGAACAAGCAATTCAAATGGAACCAGTTCCTCGAGGTGTTCACCGATCCGCAAGCCTACCTGATTGCCATCATTGTTGCAGCGAGCAATATCAGCAATGCCGCTATCAGCAGCTTCTCGGCGCTGATCATCAAGAATTTTGGCTTCACCACCAAAGAGACCGAATTGCTCACCATCCCCGGCGGCGTGGTCAGCGTGATCAGTATCCTCTCGGGAACCTACCTGGCAGGGCGTTTCGATCAGCGATGTCTCTGCGTCCTGGGCATTCTGGGCTGTGGCCTCCTGGGCGGCTGTCTGATGGCGTTTGCCCCGAGCGACAACAAAGGCGCGATGCTGGCGGGCAACTACCTCACCAACTGCGTCGGATCCGCCCTGCCCCTGATGTACTCGATCGCGGGAGCCAATGTGGCCGGGCATACCAAGAAGGTGACGATGAACGCGATCGTGCTCATGGCGTTCTGCCTCGGCAATATCCTGGGTCCGTTGTCCTTCCGCACGCAGGACGAGCCCCAGTATATGCCCGCCAAGGTTGCCATTGTAGCCACCGTCTCGGTGGCTATCTTGTTCACGGGGCTTCTGAAGTGCTATTACATCTACGAGAACCGCCGCCGGGACAAGAATGGCCGCGGTGAGCAGCATCAGGAGAATTCCGAGTTCCTCGACCTGACCGATAGGGTGAATCTGGAGTTCAGGGTGAGTTTCTTCGCTAACCCGGAAAATCACTTGCATCAATCAACTGATATGCAAGTAGTACAAGCATTGAAGTCTACTTAGCTTACACGTAAAACGTTTTGGATAAAGTTCATGAGTACCCATGAAATGGAAGTGATATCACATTAAGTGGACCAGCAAGTCTATGCGATCTATGCTATGCAAAAACCCTGCCAACGCCTCGTAGAACAAACCGCTATATATACAATACGTCGAAATCAAAGTCACCCGCACAAAGCTCTAAGCAGCGACCTTGGCGACCTTGGCAGCCTTGAACTCCTCGCTGTACTCATAGTCGTTGTAACCCTTGGGATCCTTGGGGAGATAGAAGACCTCGCGCTGGTAGGGGCGTAGGGGGATGCCGCGCTGGATCTTGAAGGGCAGCTCGGGGTTGGCGGTCCAAGGGCGGCCAATGCCGACGACGACATCATAGTCCTTGTAGTCGACATCAACCGCCTTCTTGGCCGAGTCGGCATCGAACCCGCCGGCCGTGATGACGGGGCCGGCGTGGCCGTAGGCCTGGAAGAAGAAATCCAGGCTATCCTCGTTGCCGCACTCGCCCTCGGTGTTGCCCTGGATGCGGGGCTCCACGACATGGACGTAGCTCAGCTTGAACTCGGCCGTCTTCTCGGCGAGGTAGCGGAACTGGGGCCTGGGGTCCTGCATGCGCATGCCCTGGAAGGTGCTGAAGGGCGAGTAGCGGATGGCCGTGCGCTCCGCGCCCACGGCCTCGACGACGGCCTGGATCACCTCGAGCGCGAACCGCGCGCGGTTCTCCACGCTGCCGCCCCAGGCGTCCGTCCGCTGGTTGGCCGTGTCCTGGTTGAACTGGTCGATCAGGTACCCGTTGGCGCCGTGGATCTCGACGCCGTCGAAGCCCGCCGCGATGGCGTTCCGGGCGGCCTGCGCGTACTCCCCGATGAAGGCGCGGATCTCCGCCTCCGTCAGCGCCCGCGGGGTCGGCGCGTCGGGTGCGGCGGGGATGGCGCTCGCCGACGCCACCTCAAACTCCCCGTTGGTGTCCTCCTTCAGCGCGGCCGGGTCGGCCACGCGGCCCAGCGCCCACAGCTGCATGTAGATGTACGAGCCGCGGGCGTGCACGGCGTCCGTCACCTTCCGCCACTGCGCGATCTGCGCCTCCGTCCAGATGCCCGGCACGTTGCGGTAGCTGCCGGCGCGCGGCGAGATGAGGGTGGCTTCGGTGATCAGGAGCGTGCCGGGGACGGCGGCGCGCTGGGCGTAGTGCTCGGCGACCATGTCCATGGGCACGTGGGCGTCGTCGGCGCGGAAGCGCGTCATCGGGGCCATGGCCAGGCGGTGGGCGAGCTGCATGTTGCCCACCTGGAGGGGTTGGAAGAGTTTCGTGGTGGTGGCCATTTTGTGTGGTGTGTTTTGTGTTGTTTGAGGTTATTCGTGGGAGGAGAGGTATAGAGTGTAGGTGGGTGTATTGCAACCACGCAATTGGATCAATGAACAACGGTGCATTAACTAATTCTTCTGCTGCGAAAAAGAAATCAGAGAGAGAGACCCGAAGGAAGAGAACAACACCTTTATACCTCCTGTCCTCAGGCAATCCAGAATAGGAATATGGAATCTTCCATGGAATTAGGGAAAACAGTGGAAGTGGGGCCCAGTGCCCATGTCCCACATGTTGATTTCCAAGCATTGATGGGGCGTGCTTTTCTCTCCAACTTCCAAGTCAAGTGCCCCTTGCCCTTGCCCTTAACCCTGAAACCTTCTTGCTCGTCTCGGGGTTACATCCCCCCCCCCCCCCTGGGATTAGAGTATGAATCCATGGCAATGAAAGCGTGATTAGTAACTTAACAGTGATTAGTGATATCAGCTGGGTAACCAAACTATACAAAGTACGGAGTTAAACTCCCATGCTAGACTAGCTCGTACCGTACATACATAATCTGCACGGAACGCCGGCAGTGAGTCCTGGTAAGCACTAGACTCCCCCCCCCCCTGTTTAGGTTCTTGGACCCTGACCACGCCATGCATACATGCTTACACCCTTCCCTACTTCCAGGTACGCGTAGACTTACTACTGGGTAAATCATGGGCTAGGCTTGAACAATGACGATGACGATAACGATAATGATAACGTGGGTGGCGGACCCAAAACCCAAACCTAAACCCTGCAGAAAAGTTCTGTTGCATATCCGGTTTCTCTCTCGGTTCAGATAACAATTCCCTTCTCGGCATACCTACAGTAGGAAATTGTTTTCCGTCCCGGGGCTGACAAATAGGGTAGGCTGGCTGGCCGGGCGGTGGCGCGGGGGTGCGTTTCGAATGCATTCGAAGAATTTTCGGGGGTGGCTACTAGGTACACTACAGTGCCTTGGCTACCGCCGTAAGTTGCTGCTTTCGGGCTGCCGGTCGGTCGGGTTTGGTTCGGCTTGCTTTTTCTTGCCACTATACTTCCTTCGTAACTTGGTATCGGTTTTGATTTTAGGTTACAGTTACAGTTTGCAGTGCAGGTACGGACTCACTACGCTTGAGTATACATACGTAAACGTACCATGATGAGGCCATGTTGGAAATTGGGGCAAAAGGACTAGCACGATCGAGTCTCACTCAACTAATCTGACCCTGTACGAGGTCCGTACACGCATGCAAGATAGTGATATGCTGTTATCCAATAGCTAGCTAGCTAGGTCTGGTAGTGCAGTACGTACAGTACATGGTCATGGTCAGGTAGGTATCCATTTCATCATCAAAATAATCCAACGGGAGAACTGCTACCGGCACCCTCGAAAAGCAAACAACCGTAAAAGAAAAAAAAACTCCTGTCGCAGTGTTCATGTGATGTGGGTATTCGGGATCAAGCGAAAGAGCAAGACGAGCAAGACAGGGAGGGCAATGAAAAAGAAGACAGATGATAAAAAGGTCTCAACGCCACGGAATGGATGCAATCAAGGTCGAGAGGAAGAAGCGCAACGCTCAACTCTCCAGCCTCCGTGCCGTAGATTCGAGCTGGGCGTTGAAGGAGCGAAGTTGATGCAACAGCCCGCCCTGGCCGCCGGGGGCGGCGGAACTGACCGTCTCCGCAACGTTGCGCAGCAGGAACTCCATCCCCGCCAGATCACTGGTCTCGTCTGGCTCGGCTGGGTGGGTCTGGCGACGCTCAAGGGCGAGGTCGAGGCTGTGGAGGGAGTTGTTGATGGTCGATCGCGCCTGTAGAAAGGAATCATGTTAGCATCCAATTGCTCTTCCGATATAGTTTGATCAACTCCAGAAAGACTCACCTTTCGTGCAGACTCATCTTCGGCATGTTTCCGCCGGACGGCGTCCATCTGCAGCGCAACCGCCTCTCTCTCCTTTCGCACTTGGTACAGTCGACTCCGATACTCCATCATCTCACGCTTGGCCTTCCGCATCTTGACCCCAAGCATGAAGTTGCCGTCCAGCATCTCGCTCAGCTCGAGCAATCGGCCCTCCAGTTCGCTGCCGTACGCCTCGACCACCTTCTTCTTGCGCGTCCATTCGGCGCGCCGCGCGGCGTTCCCTTCACCGTCGATGCCGTTGGTCAGCGTCGTTAGCGTCTTTTCCAAGGTCTCGCGGCAGATTTGGCCCAGTACGTCGGCCACATTCACGCCGCCGCGGCTGGGCAGCTTGGCCTGCTGCCGGTCGGACGACGCCTCAGCGGTCTCGCCCTCGTCATCCGACGACTCCAGCAGTGTGGGATCGCCCCCGAGAGCAGCAGCGTTTGCAAGACGGTGCACAGTGACCGGCACGGTCTCTCCGCGAGGTTGTCTGGGCTTACGTCTCCGCGTCGGAGGCTCTGCGCTGCCCGCGCCTTCTGCTGCGACGTTGTCTGCCTCGCGTCTCGCGCTAACCCCGGCACTCTCTTCTGCCTGCCTGCCGCCACGACCACGCTTACGAGATCGGCGTTCTGTGGGTTCCTGCGAAGGCTCCAGTTCTGGTTCTGGCTGTGCAGCCTCGGGTTGGACCACTTCAGGTTCCGGAACAGCTTCTGCTGGCTTCGGCGATGTCGACTTGGCTCCCCTTGCTTTCCGCCCTCTAGACTTCGGCGCTGTTTCAACTGGTTCTTGCGTGGCCGGCTCTGGCTCTGGTCGTGCATCTTCCGGCCCAGCTGTCCGTGCTTTTCGCCCTCTGCGCCTCGGCTCTGCCTCAGCTGGTCTTTGATCTGTCGGACTGGGCTCCGCTTGTGCTGCCTCCGGCTCAGCTATCCGTGCCCTCCGCCCTCTTGGCCTTGGCTCTGGCTCTTCCGGTGCTTGTTCCGCCGGTTTTGTCTCTGGGTGTAGAATCTCTGGCTCTGCAGTCCTTGCTATCCGCCCCCTGAGTTTCGATTCAGGAATCACTGGCTCTGGCTCTACCGGCTCTGGCTCAGCGATCTTCGATCTTCGCCCTCTGTGCCTTGATTCAGGCACTGCTGGTTCTGGCGCTGTTGCTGTGGCCTCTGGTAGCGGCTCCGTTGGCTTGGCTCTCCGTCCTCTGGACTTCGAGCGAGATGCTGTCTCCGCCTCTGCTTCATGATCCTGCGGCTCTGGTGCAGGTTCCGCTTGCTCCGGCTCTGGATGTACACGTTCCGACTCGGCTTGTTTGGGTCGTCGTCCCTTGCGCTTCGGCTGCGCCTCCGATGGTAGGGCCTGCTCCTGTGGCTCCAGCTCTGGCTCCACCGGCTGCGGTCCAGATGCCTTGGGTCTCCGTCCTCTCAGCATGGGCTGTGACGCCGACTCTTCCGGCTCCTGCACCTCCTTCTGCACCTCCTCGACTTGAGCTTCCTCCTCCTCGACCACGTCCTGGAGAGAGGGCGAAACCTTTCTCCCGGGGCGACCAGCGCGCTTCGGTTTCGTTTCTGCGGCCTCCGGCTGTTGCGGACGTCCTCTGCGGGCCCCCTCTCGCTCCGCAGCACGTACCTCTGCTCCTTGCGGAGCATCTAGCTCCATATCCTGACCCTCTGGCTTCCCATTGGTGATGGAAGCATCATTTGCCCGCTCAGAGACCCCATCAATCCGGGTCCGGATCCTCTTATTTCTCTTTGCTCCAACTGGCGTGCTCTCCGCGGAGCCTGCTCTCGCCACTCGGGGCTCCTTGACCGTGCTCGTAGATGGTTGGACGGATGCAGCTCGTTCGCCTCGTGGTCGCTTGGTTCGCGAAGGAACGGGTAGTCTCGACTGTTTCGTAGTCGGTTGAGGTTCGGTGATGGCGTGGGATTGAATCGTTTCTTGGGGTTGGGCAGTCGATTGGGGCTCGGTGACGTCTTGGGGCTCGACGGGTTCGGTCGACTCAGGAATGTCTGGAAGGGTTGGGTCGTTTGGCGGTTCAACAGTATCTGGCACCGCTGTCGCTAGTGGTTCTGTAGTTTCAGGTTGTACATCCAACGATGTATCCATAGGCTCGGCTGGTGGTTCGACCTGCGCATCGCTCGTCTTCGGACTGGTTGTCGTAGGCGACGATCGTTCGCTTTCCTGAGAGCCTTGTCTCTTGCGCTTGCCTCTTGCCTTCTTAACTGGTGGTGAGGGTGTCCCGTTCGCTTTTGGTGATGCTGACTTAGGTCTCGGGGACAGCTTCTCTGTAGCCACTGTCGCTGACTCCGGTTCCTGAGGAGCCTGCGGAGACGCGAGGTCATTGAGCGTTATAGAGGCTGCTACCGGCGCAACCGGTGATGCTGGTTTCTCGATCGGGGCTTCAGAAGAAGGGGTCGGAACAGGTTCAGGAGTAAGCTTAGTTGCAACAGCTGATTCCTCAGCGGGTTGAGCTGGATCAATCGGGGCAATCCCATTGGCGAGAGAAAGGGGGTTCTCAGCATTGTGCGCAGCAGCTGAACTTGCAGGGGAACTCCTAGGGTGATCTTTCACAAGGTCAGCAACATATAAACCGCGTTAGTACATGTGGCTGCGCACCGAGTTTTCTGATCTTGCGACTTGGACCGGCTTCCGTCGCACCATCCGACGGACTCCGGGGCGAAGACAGTCTGGGCGAGGATCTGGTGCGCGCGCTTCCTGACGTCCGTCGAGCGGGTTCTTGGTTCTGGGATGTCGAAGGCTCAGCCGCAGGCGGCAAGCCATTTTGTGCAGCTTCATCTGTAATACTCGTACTTTCTATAGTGATTGGCGGTGCTGCTGTCGTCGTCGTCGTCGTCGTCGTTGTTGTTGTTGTTGGCGGCGGCGGCGGCGGAAGTGAAGCAGAAGGCTCACCAGCATCGGCCGGGCGCGACGCGGAATCTGTAGCTTCGTCCGGCGGCGGAGCTAGCCCAAACGAAAAACCAAAGTTGATCTCTTTCGTCTTACGTGACCTGCTCAAGATTGGGTATGAATTAGCGACTCATATCGTAGTGGTCAGGCGGCGCGGGGTATGCTGGGCTGGGGGTTGGGATGCGCGTACGCTGCTCCGCGCTGCCGCATTTGCTGCCGCTCCTCTCGATCTACCGTTTGCAAAAGGTTAGCTGAGTACGCGAAGAACCTGGGTGAGAGAAGTAGGTCATACTGATATTCATGTTGGAGAAGCGGCGTCAGGCCGAACTCAACGCGCAAATTGACGCGCGAGAACAGATAGAGGGAGGACGTGGAAAAGAGAGGATCGGATCGAGTTGGGTTTGGGGGAGGGAATGATGGCACTCAGCGCAGGGCGGGCGGAAACCTGACAATCGTTTTCCCCAATACGGTTTGGCGCCCGGTATTTGAAGTTGACGGAGGCCTGCCTTTCGTTTCGGGCATCTCGCGCCATTCTCCGCAGTCAATCTATATTATACGGTACATTATCGCACACGACGACCAGCAAAAGCAGCGTACGCTTGCAGGGCTTTCTTCCGCTTGCTTGCTCACTCCTCGCCCTATCTATCTCTTCCCAGTGAATCGAACACCCCACATCAAATCATGGGTTGGTTTTGGGGCGGCTCGAACCAAGACGACCCCGTCAAAAAGCTTGACCCGGAGCTGCGGGATTTCCTCGAACATGAAGCCCCCAAGAAATACGTGCCCACGAATGCGATTCCGTCCGTCCACGAGCCTTCAAAGACAGTCGAGACAGCGGTACAACCGCCCTCGTCGGAGAGTGCTACGCCCTCGGAGCCTGCAGTCCCCAATGCCTCCCTCTTCCCGGACGGCCGCTATGCCCACCTCTGGAAGACCTACAAGCCACCCCAGGAGAAGGAACAGTCCGAGATGAAAACCGCCGAGCGGGTGATCGAGAAGTACAAACAGCGCGGTGATACCGTGCATCGGGCGGCGATGGAGAACTGTGCGTTGGAACAGGAAGACTGGGCCAATTGCTTCCGCACCGGCAACTGGCAGAAGCAACTGAAAGCCCGTGCGACCATGTGCTCAGACGAGAACTCTAAGTTCTCTCGTTGTTTTACCACCCAGGCTGTATGTTCATTCGCGGGGGGGACGAATTCTCCTTTGATACGCAAGATGCTAACCGCTGATGGGGGTTCCAGAAATTTCTCCAGGCCTTGGGCTACGCCTCTTCCTTCGAGTGGGACGCGGAGAGAGAAGAGCGGATTCAGATGCACGCGGATAAACTCTATCACGAGATGTTGGACTACGAAACCCGGGTGGAGGAAGCACAGAAGGCCGGGCTGGAACCTCCGCCGCTCACCTCGCTCTTTAACCCCCAAGCACCGCCGCCGCCGAGTCCCGCCGTTCCCACCAAGAAGACGCTGGAGATTCCCGGTGGGGAGGCCATCCCTACCGGCTTGAAGCCATCGAGGCCTTTGGAGAAGCTCACGCCCCACGAGCGGGAGCTGGAGATCCGGGCGCACAACGCACAGTTGGAGCAGCAGAAACTCTACGTGCAGGAGGCGACGCCGTTCATCAAGAGCCAGGATGAAGCCCGTTCGAAGCGACGAGAGAAGGCTACGAGTTGGTTTGGCGAGACGATCGGTCGCTGGGTCACCTGAAACATCGAGTAATTTGTCCTCAATTCTGATGTATAATATGATTGTTACCCCTCTTGGCTTGACTTTTCCGGGGGAGTTTGTGAGTAGTTATCAGCGATACTTTCGAAGTTGAACAGTAGGCATTGCCGGTACTTAAGTTGACCTCAATGATCAATCTGGGGAGAAGGCTAAGCATTGAACATCTTGCGCAGTGCTCTATGTTAATCCTTGTGAAATAGGTCCAGAGGAAGTGGTGCTTTGCACTCGACGCCCTATGTACTTGTACATTCAGCGATAGAAGACGGATCAGAGCGATGACACTCTCGACGCATTACCGTTAGTATGCCCGAAACTGGCCAAGGAGGCAGCTAGTCGCGCCATCTCAGCAGGTCTAGACTGTTCAACAATAGTAGCAACCACCTGTACTGTACCTTTTCTTCCACAAGTAGATCACAATCCAAGGTAGTTCCCATTGTTATTGGAAGGGATTGCAGTGTCAAGTAGTTGCCGGCCGCCATCCCGCAAGAGAAACTGAAACCGCTTAATTGATAGTGTATTCTCGGTGCAAGGCGTTAGTTTGGAAGCGGGCACAGAGATCGATGATAAATAGATGGAGGAAGCCAGAGAAAGATTGAAGCATTGGAAAGGACTGCAGTCCACCTGGTGCGTTTCGACTCCGTAAGAGGAATGGCAATGAAGATCGCATTACGCGCGATCGACGGAGCAGGCGAACGCGAAGCTGACGGACGCGGGGATTGTCATTCGCCGGGCGCGACACGAGGGAGAGAAAAAGGACGACATCACCACTGCAGTGACTGCCCACTGACTGACTGGATCCTGCAATCAACTTCCACTGGGCAACGGACAACTACTTCTGCTTTTCTTTCTCTACTGCTCTCATCGGCTGCACTTTGTGTCTTCGTCAAATCGGAACATTGACGACGGTGTTTGTTAGATCTACTAGATTCTTGATCTTGCCTAATAATCCGACCTCCTCTTTGCTTCCTCTTTCTCTTTCGCCTCCTCCCTCTCCACCCCCTTCTTGCTTCTGATTGCATACCTCTTTAAATCCCTCCGAGAGGCTCTTTGATTCCCTGGCCTTGCTGCTGCTGCAAAGTACTTCCCGACGGCTTGTTTGCATTGAATTGCCTCGCCCGCAACTCTCCCTCCGCACTGCTCTCTCTCTCTCTAACCTTCAACAATTCTCCTCATTGCTGCTGCTTCAGCTTCCCCCCACCCCTCATACTACTACCCCTTACAATACATTTCCCACCCCATCTATATCCGCAATATATAACTCGTCTTGGGCCTCGATCTCTCCACCACCATTCTCTCAACGGGTGCCCCCAATTGAGCATCCGTGCTCATCATGAAGGCCACCCCGTTGCTCATCTCGTGGCACGATGACAATGCTCCTATTTACTCGGTACATTTCGACCCCAACGGCAAGGGTCGCTTAGCCACTGCTGGAAAGTGCGTTCATCTGGTCTCTCCCTTTGCCCTTTTCTTAGTCTGTCATTCAGGTTGCTGATGCTTGTCTCCGCCCTCCAGTGACAATAACGTCCGAGTACGATCCCCCCCTCTCGAATTGGCTTTGCCCTCCCTCATCCCTCCTCGTGACTCCTCGTCGAGGGCACTCTGTACACCGTGTCTAACAACATAACACAACCACAGATATGGAAAGTTGAATCAACCGGAGAGGAACGGAAGGTGTCCTACCTGAGCACGCTGGTTAAACATACCCAAGCTGTCAATGTCGTCCGTTTCAGCCCCAAAGGTAGGCAGCAACGCTCGGGCCAATCTGTCTATGTCGCTTCCTGTTCTGATCGTGTCGCCTCGAATCTCATTTAGGCGAGATGCTGGCATCTGCCGGGGATGACGGCAATGTCTTACTCTGGGTACCGTCGGAATTGCAATCACAACCGGGCTTGGGTGAAGACCGCTCGGACGACAAGGAAACCTGGCGAGTGAAGCATATGTGCCGTTCCTCCGGGGCAGAGATCTATGATCTTGCGTGGTCGCCCGACGGGGTTTTCATTATCACGGGCAGTATGGACAATATCGCTCGGATCTATAATGCTCAAACGGGTGAGTTTGGTCGGTGGGTTGCACGCGGAATTGGGTTGCTGACTGTATGGATGACAGGCCAAATGGTGCGCCAGATCGCTGAGCACTCGCACTATGTCCAGGGCGTCGCCTGGGATCCGCTGAATGAATTTGTTGCAACACAATCGTCCGACCGCTCGGTCCACATCTACAGCTTGAAAACCAAAGACGGCCAGTTTACTCTAACTTCCCACGGAAAGTTTCTCAAGATGGACCTCCCCGCGAAACGCATCTCGTCCAGCAGTCCTGCGCCGCCCGATCTATCAATTCGCTCTCAACCCGCACCGACCAGCTCAGCCGCCATCGCCTCTCCCGCTCCGTCCACTCCAGGTACCCCAATGACCTCCAACTTGCCGATGGACCCTCCTCCCGTGTCGCATAGTCGCCGATCGTCATTTGGGTCCTCCCCTTCCATCCGTCGTTCAGCATCTCCGGCGCCATCACTGCCGTTACCAGCTGTCAAACCGCTAGAGGTACCATCACCCGGTTTATTGGGAGGACTTGGAGTCAAGAATGCCAACATCTATGCGAACGAGACCTTCACCTCATTCTTCCGGAGGTTAACCTTTGCTCCTGATGGAAGCTTGCTGTTCACCCCGGCGGGGCAGTACAAGACGTCGCATGTGTCGGCGACGGACTCCTCGAAAACAACGGACGAGATCATCAATACCGTTTACGTCTATACCCGTGCCGGGTTCAACAAGCCGCCTATCTCTCATCTCCCAGGCCATAAGAAACCATCTGTCGCGGTCAAGTGCTCCCCTATTTTCTATACTTTGCGGCAGACTCCTCAGCCTGCTCGTCATATCACCTTAGACACCTCGTCCATCGACGAGTCGTTCTCTTCGCTCCCAGACCCGGTGGTGAGTTCCGCCAAGAATGGCGCGTCAATGGAGCCTCCATCGTCCACGCTTGCTGCCAATGATCTGGTGAAGAACAACACCAGTACCAAGGCGACAGAGCGGGACAGTCCCTCTGCAAGCCAGAGCCCTGCGCCCGTGTTCACATTGCCCTACCGAATCGTGTATGCGGTAGCCACCCAGGACGGAGTTTTGGTGTATGACACCCAGCAGCAGACGCCAATCTGCGTCGTTAGCAATCTGCACTTTGCTACTTTCACCGATCTGACCTGGTAAGTGATGATGACGGACACTCGTCTCCTTGATTCAGCCGAACTAAATTAGGACAGGTCGAATGATGGCTTGACCTTGATGATGAGCTCGTCGGACGGATTTTGTTCGACGCTTGCATTCTCGCCGGGCGAGTTAGGCCAACCATACACTGCGCCAGCATCAGCGGCTCATCAGAACGCAGCCGCCGTGTTATCGGCCAATAACGTTCCGCTCCCTACGCCGACGACAGCGAAACCAAGTCCAGGCCCCCAGGCCAATGCGAGCCAAGCTCCCCCTGCAAGCCCTGCGCGATCTAATTCGGTGTCATCAGTCACGACCCAGTCTGGTAGCCAACAAACGCCAGGGACGGTGGTCAACAACCCGACACCGACTCTCGGATCAGTCCCCCTGGTGACGGCGACTCACTCATCCCAGCCTCCGACACTTCCGCTCACGACGCCGCCACAGACTCCCATGCCTGTGGCCTCGCAAAGTGGGACAAGCAATGTCAGCGCCAGTGTGCTAGGCAAACGGGTCAGTGAATCGGAAAAGGAGGAAGACAGAGACCCGAGCGCGGCTCCGCCCGTTCAACCACCGAAGAAGCGACGAGTAGCGCCGACGCTCATATCAGCAGGCACCGAGCACACCTCCGTGAAAAAGGAGTCACATAGTACTACGGATGTTGGAGGTTAATCATGCCATCTGACAAGTATCTTATCCATGATGTTCTTGTTATTTCCTATTCCCTCCGTGTCTAAAGCGTAACCTCTTCCATCCCGTCACCTCCCGGCTTCCTCTACCACCCACCACCGCCACCCTTGCAGGCGAGATTCGGAGCGGTCCTGACTCGCTACGACATATTATCTATCTATCTATCCACCCTCTGTTACTCATGAATTCACGTGTCATCATCCCATTCTTCTATTCGCATTTCCATGAGCTAGTTGTCTATTTTCCACAGTGTTTGTTTACTAGGAAGGATTTCCGGTAGAGTTTCGAAGTTCTGAGTTGAGTCATTCAGTCAGTCAGACAAGGCAAGGCATACATGCATCATTGTTCCTTTCCCACTATTGTACGGTATTCTTGTTTTTGTTATTGTTGCCCCTCTTTCTCTCTCTCCTCATTCGATCTTTGCCCCCCCCACTATCTATCTTCCTCCGCACCACCCTCCTCCTACTCCTCTTTGCTTGCTATCGTTATCATCTAGTACTAGTACCCCCCGCACGCAAACAGACCTTCGATTAGTCTTAGTTATCATCCATCATCTCGAATGTGTGTAAATACTCATACTTCTGAACCCCAGTCTTCTTTCTCCATTGCCCAGCTGAGAACCCCAGTCCTGAAGCACACACCACCTGAGCTGCCGATGTACATGTACATACAGTACTATCTCTGACTTGGTAATCAACAACAAACTCCTAACCCCCACCCATCCCCGCGCCCCCTCGGACATGCTGTGCTGTGCTGTACACCTGATGACCTGACGCGCCAACCAAACGCGGGGGATTGGCCGGGAATCTGTCCGTCAAGTCAACACGGCCCCGACCTTCGACAGGACCTCTGGCAGCAAGAACATCACTCCCCAAATTGCAACTAAGTACCCTTCCCTCAACCTGTGTGCGCGGCCACCAACCCGCGTATCTCCCACCGCCGCACTGGGAGTGATTCCCATCCTCCGACCTACGTACCTTCCTAGGCTGAATAGAATACATCGATGACGGGGAACAGGAGTTTACACATCCTTGTCCGCATGGGCCATCCATCATCTTTCATCCCGAGAGAGAGAGAAATTCAGATTAGATCGAAGGGCACTCACACAAACGCACACCCACACACACACACACACACACACAGAGAGAGAGAGAGAGAGAGAGATAGTTAACGGGATGAGTAGTGTCTTTTGTCTTCGGTTGTGGTTTGTAGCAGCG